ACCACAACATAATTCCTAGTGTGAGACAGTGTTTTTAATACTCCAGAGAAATACTTGTTTTGGACTAAGTTTTCTTATTTTAAATTACTCAATAGTGAATGCAACAGCAAGCAATTATTACAGTGTTATTGGCCTAATTAATGTGATTAAAACTAATAGAGAATGTATGACTGTAGATTAGCAGCGCGACAGTCGACGCGTCGTGTGTCGTGGAATGCTGCACATGAATATGGGCCTCTAGCATGGCTTGAAACTAGTTGAATATCTCGTCAAACAATTACGTGAGTAAGGCGAAAACATAATAATTAATTTAGAATGTCTTACGAAAGTTATAATAAAAATATAATAGAGAATGTACTAGTAAAAATGTTTTAATGTTTTAATAGCAACAAGTTTTCAATGATCGTATTGAGTTAAATAGTTATTCTCATATTTTTATAGTGCTAAACAACAAGTATACTGTTTGACACCTAACTCTGAAATACAATATCTCATACAAAATACCTAGAAAACATTAGATCTTGACAATATTTGAAAAAATACTAGTTGTCAATAAATTATTTAAAAAAAAAGCAAATTCATATAGAAAATTGCTACCAAAAATAGCATAGTTTACAATATGATAATGATATACTTACAAACAAATATGAGTATATTTTAACAAGATAAGATTGAAATGTTATCAGATAGTTACCATGTATAGTTTCATTGGTGCAAATGTGAACATATGAGGCGTTGGGATCAAGGTTCCACTCTGATTGGTCAGGAATACCAACATAACGGTCCGTAGGAGGAAGCACCATGTTCACTTTGCCATATTTCTTAGCCTCCTTTGCAGCTTTAGCTGACCAGTCACCTGGAAAAGAAGTTATAACTCACTAGTTATATAACCTTTTTGGTAATAATTTTATTTCTAAATTAAAAAAATAAAATAAATGAAATAGTAACAGTCCCTTCTATATTTAAAATTAAAAAAGCAACAGCTGGTAACAATAATATTGTAGTTATTTATGTACACTTATGAAAATTCCTACATTCTTATAGTGAGGAAAAGAACAATTTTCTTTATTGACCACTATAATAATATGTAGTGTTATTCGCTACTGTGTAGCTGTCCTTTATGATTATTGTCAACACTTTAGTGCAAATCAATATTTTGTCAAAACATGTTCTTCATAACTCGTCGAGTAACAAACAAGATAAAGGCCCACTGTCAAGGGCAACTACGATGGCAGAAGGACACAAAATTATTTAAAGTTGTTTACAAAACAGTTTAGTTCTAGTTGATAAAAACTTTGACTTTCTTGGTATAAGTGTTTGAAAAGTGGATACCAAACATTGGTTTTGGACTATAGAATTATCATTATTGGACAAAGATAATTACACTTATTAGAGTAAAAAGTATCGCCTTACCAGTCACGACATAGTCCGCAGTTCCAGTTCTAGACATCAAGTTAAGTGGAACCGCTGCAAATTCACCAGTACCGCCTCCAGCCATGAACAAAATCTTGTAATTTGCAGGCACATCTCTGAAATAAGCATCGGTCAATTAGGTAATATTGAATTTTCTTTTTATCTTGTCCCTCAAGCTAAGATTGAAAGTTGTGTCCTTTAGTTTGTTTTGGTTTAGAATAAAAGTCAAACAATTGACAGTCGAAATCGAAAGTCAAAAGTGTCATTAAAGAAAACAACCCCTAATTTCACTCATTCGTTCATCAACCCTCTACCGACCGCTTGTGAAAAGGCTTTAACTTTTGTGAAAAAGAACGTAATACAGTAATGTGCTGTAACTATTTCGATGACACCCGAATATATTAAAATATTTATAAGCTGTGTCAAAAAGCTGTTATTGTTCTACATAAAGGTATTCTAATATATTTTTTTTGTATATGTTGCGACTGTTAATTAATATTACAAAAAAAAATTATATCAACATTAACACAGAATCATTCGAATGTTTAATGAAGTATTTATGTTTTCAACTCGTGTATTTACCGTGTTGAATACTTATTGTTATTCATAAAATTCATGCCGCCGGACCAAAATGCTCAATAGGTCAGTACTTACAATAATCTTCTGACAACATTTTGAACTTCTGTATTAAATTGCATGTATGCTTTAGTCCTGTGACTGGTTTCAAGTAAACTTATGCCAGATCCATCGAAGTTTGTAAGTTCTTTCCGCATAATTTCATATACCTGATAAAAATAATAACATTTATTAAAAAATGAAGAAAGGCAGTCTGATTATAGTAAAATAAATAATGTCGAAATATAAAAAGATATGTGCTTACCTCCTCAGGCATCTTAGCCGGCCCGGCACCGAAGTTATAAATTTTCGACATTTTTTTAAATAAATTATTTAATACAACTTTAACGTTATTTATCACACGACACTGTATCACAGGGCTCGCGCAATGCGTCTGCTCAGACTGAATAGTTGGGTTATCGCCCTGCCTTTATTATGTCGACGACGACCGGTTTGCTGATCACATGAACTAAGTTCATTCGTGTGCAAAACATTGGGATCGTTTATGAAATTTAATTGAAATTGCACTCGGTTTTGGGCGATATTCTTGCGTTTTTTAATTATATTATGTCATAACGTCTCTTGTTTCATTATCATTAGAAATAGAGCGTATTTTCACTCAGAAAACAACACTATGTAAATTTGTATCGATAGGCCGACCAGTTTAATTTATTCAGTTTTATCATTGGAGTGACCGAATTGACCGTCCATGTTCGTCGCAAAATAAAACACCTACCGTCAGTTAATATAAAGAATAACATCCTTCAACGACTTCTATCGCCAATCAAGTCTTCATATTTAATCTTTAGATAGGTAGGTAGTTTAATAGACTCAAGGCCAAATGTATAGTAGCTACGTAATATACATAAGTGTGTAGGTACTTACGTACCTCCAACTACCAAGAGTTACCATCCATTTATTTTGTTTGTTGTTTTACCTATATACGTATTATATACTGTCAATATACTAACATAGGTATTAGAAAGTTTTTAATACTTATCTAATTATTCCTTCAAACATCCACATATCGAAACCTAACGAAGGCAAGTTCATTAATTCGATCTTTGCATCTCTAGAAAAACTTTATTTTGGTATTTTATGAAGTTTTATCAGTGTAGTAGCATCTTCTCCGTATTATTTGTCTTTTACTGAAAAGAGGTAAGTACCAGCACTTGACCTGCAGGTAAGGGGGTCGCAGTTACAGATAATATTAACTTATTGCAGATTTTTTATTAAGAAACTATCCTATGTCCTTTCTCGAGTTCCAAATTATGTATGTACTAAGTAAAGTTCACACAAATAGATTCAGTAATTTAGGCGTGAAGAAAAAACTGACAGACATGCAGACAGACAGAGTTACTTTCGCATTTATAATATAAGTTTGGATTACCGTGTCACAGTTGTGACACTAAACATTTACAGGTTGCTGTTACCCGATCCTGAGTTGCTGATCGCAGTTTTAGGACATACCCGAGTCCCGGATCGGACTAATTTGTATTATAGTATTGACTTGAGTCATATAAGCGATAAAACAGATGCCTTTAATGAAGAAAAAATGGGAAATAACTCGACTTGAACTCAAGAAAGGTTATCAATGTCAACAATTTACACACCAATTATTTACGTCTGTCTGATAGAAAAAACATAGGCATCGATACTACCTATCTGGAATAAAATAAAAACGTTGATGAATTTTATTCGTAGTAGTTTACGTGTTTTACCGATTAAAAGGATGCTATTAATTATAAGTAGTTTATTTATATAACATTATCTATCTGCATTGCAATATAAAGGACCAATTAATTGACTTTTTTGTCAGGGGAAAATCATCAAATGACTTCTCCCGCCCATGGTAAGGCGAGAGAGAGTGGCAGACTCTTACTGACTAAAAACCCCCGTTCCTTCCCCTGCTTAAGGCGTATATTACCCTCAATAACCTTGAGCATACTAACGCACGACAGGCGCGGGCTGCGTTCGCCCCCTTTTTATATATGGAAATCCCAATAATATAACATGTTCTTTGTAAAAATGAGGTGTAGGCTTTAGAATGTAACGTTTTTACGGCTTAAAAGGCGTGTAGGCCCTTAAGGCCGTGGCCGCGGTGCCTTATTACACTTGCCCCGCAACCCCGTCTGTGGTGGTCTATTGCACAGACGATTTGCAGAAGACTGATAATTCTAGTGTGAGCCAACATTACTTAATAAGCAGATTATAAACATTTTGTAAGATGAATTAAACTTTTAACCATTAGACCACTATTATTGTTAGACACGCGAGTTTAGTATCTAGTGACCCAATGTGTGCTCCCCCTTTGCACAATATTTTTTATAAGTTGTACAGATTTATTTACATGGCATCAGTGGCTACGGTAATGTTATCATTCTTGAGCTGGCCCCATTCTCAGCTATGCAATGTAAGTTAATTAAATCCGACGCATGTTCACGCTACTATTCGTAAAGCAGGCTAATGATTGAATGATGGATTGTTTACGCCAACTCATTATACTACTTATAAAACTCTCAAAATTTCTCCATTCGATAACTTTATTTTATATATTTTTATATCTATATTTATTATATCAATCATTCAATAATCAATAAGACGGAAATCATTAAAATTCTAGTTCATACATTCTATTTTTATTTTGTATAGCTCGAATAAATTACTGTAGCGTCGCGTCAATCTTCGCCACGGAACGCTCCAGTTTCATAAAGATAGCACGCGACACAACATGACACGCCATTTTAATTTTCCGGGTTTACAAATGTAGACAATGATAATTATTTACAGAAAAAAATTTTTTATTTGTATGTTCTATGCAAAGATCTTAAACACAACGTTTTATGTAAAGCTTAAAATACCTACCAATATGTTCAAATAATTATTGTAGATTTTTAACACGAATGTAGTTCTAAAAAATTTATACACTGGCAACAAATGTATTTTGATTTTATTCGTTCAGTTCATTCATGATTCGCTTCGTTCATTCAGAAGTTCACTTGACTTCGATTTTCACTTGAAATTGAAACAGTAGAGTAACATCTCTTGTATTTTGTTTTCATTAGCTTAAACGTCTTATATTACCAATATTTGACATATTTGTTACTTAAAAAGTGTGTTATTAATTGTGTAAAGGATATGCCTCCAGTAAAAGATGAGTCGATAAGAGAAACTAATTGTTTAGAAATAATAAACATTGTTGAGAAGAGCCCTGGCAAGAGTACTCTTGTGGATGTAAGAGCGTGCAATAAACCTGCCGCAAAGGTAAAATTACTTTAATATGAATCTTAAATTATTGTTTTAGTGAATAAACTTTCTTACTAGGTTATCGATTTATACTTTTTCGTTGTCCACGGGAAGTTCTTAATAACCGCTACTTTATGGTATTTTTGATTCGAAATTCAATTCAATTTTTTTATTGGGTTGTATTTAGATATTAGTATTATTTATCATGTTTAAAGTAATTACCTGCACGACCACAATATCCAAACAGTACATCGGAATTATATCAGCATGTTATGTAGTTTTTACAACACTTTCTCATCAACTATTTCTACAGTTTGCCTTCAATTTACATTGCAATTTTACACATGCACAATCATTCTGTTTGTAAAAAACAACTATTGTAGACCACAATGCCTACATAGATTATATCAGAGTCAACCTACTGACCAAGAAAAACTGTGTTATCAACTTTATCATTCAAATTACAGCAAAAATATACAGTTTTATGAAAGTAAAAATAAATCTTAGGTGTGTGTGTCTGTGTATCCTTAGGCACAGCAGTTATTTAACCCATGTTTTGTTGAAACACAAATCTGAACAAAACACCATTATTTTCTATAATACCATATACAGCCGAAGTTACAAAGTTTACACTGAATTGATTGATTCATCCTTAAGTTTCCATGTTCTATCATAGACATCAAAATTAAGAAGCTACAAAAATTTATTATGTTGTGTTTGGCCTCTATCTCAGTCAGTCTTGAACAAGAAGTTATATTATGAAACGGCTACATACTATACTTTAAGATTTATTATTTTATATAGCGGCGCGCCGGGCGCGCGCGCGAGCGCCGAGACTTTTTAACCGCTCCGTCTATTTAGGGTAAAATTTTAACGCTGCCGTCGTCGTGCCGTATACTGAAAAGTATTGATATAATATTGTCCAAAATCAAATGCTATTTTATCCCAAAACTTATACTAAAAATTAAGTTATGGCCAATGTTAAAATTTCTTGCAACAGTACCCAAAATCACTAACAATAGTCGAGTTGTTGTTTTTTTTGAAGCTAATAACTGAAATCTAACAATTGATGTCAATCAAAAATATTCTCTAGTCTTTACACAACTAATAATAATTGATGTAAGTTCCAAGATTTTGGTAAGTGGTTCTTCTAAGCTCTACTTCAAGGATCACTATCAAGGATTTATAGTCCTAATTTGTAATGTCAGTATTTTGTTTAACATAAAACAATTCACCACTATATGAAATATTAAAAAAAAAAAAATTGAACCCAAGACCAGATTCTAAAATCTTATACTTACTGGACTTTTTACATACTATACCAACATGAAGTAGTTTTTGACTCCACAGTTGTCTTGGTGGCTGACAAACCAGCTATCATGCAATGTGTTGCTGGTTTTATTCTTACACATAATAGCTCTGTGAGATTCGCAAACTATTTCTCCATATCTTGTCTTATATATTTGATATTGAATGTTCATAATATATTGAAAAAAAAAAGGAAATCCTAGTGTGGGGGAAATTTCTTGTAAAGTTAAAGATAGAAAAGGGGGATAAAAGTGTAAAATTAATAATAAAAGGTATTTTATACAAATATTTTAGATATAAACAACATTGATACACATTTCCATAATAGCTTTCTCCTCAACTCTATGATTGATCATCAACATACACAACATTGTTTATCTGTGGATGTTGATATGATATGTATTATAAAATTACAATGCACACAATATTTTTTAAAGGCATACTGTGGCAAACAAGGCTAGAGCCAGCAATTGCCTTAAAACACCAAAAGAGACTCCAACCCATTGTAGATTAGGGTTCTGATTATAGAGAATTCGGGAGATTTTCTATGTTTTGTCTTAGGTCTACTCATAGAATTTGAGACTTGGATTTATAACCACTGAATTAGTAATTATTCTAGTTTCAAAGTTCTACAGTCAAGAGTATGTAGAGCAATATTTACATAAATTATTTCCAAATAATAAGCTTGGAATTGCATTCAAATTGTGTTTGTATGCAGTATTGTGTAGTAGTTAGTGTAAACAATATTCTAGTAATAGAATTCTATTTTTTATTGTTAATAGATACTAAAATTCTAAAACAATGATGTTTGAAAATTCTAACAAAAGGTTAATTCATCTTTGTCTTCTATTGAATGTATTATTAGACACAATACCTACTGAATTCAACTATTCAGCTCCTCATTTGATGTAATAAAAATCTAGACTTTTTTAATACTGCCTCATTGATTTATTAATTGCTTACTAGTATGACTATTGAGTAAACACACACACACACACAGACATTTACTGGTCAGGCAAAGTAGACATCATTGGGCTTTACTCTAAACATTTTAAATTCAAACACTAGACTGACTTTAACTGATTTAATATGATAGAAGTAATATCAAACCAAAATCATTCATTCCAAGTAAACCATAAATAGGTACTTTTGAATTGTTGAATATTCAAATATTGTTTCTCTAGTTTTTTTGAGGTGTGATTCTCATTGAAAAGTAACTTACAAACTAACTTTCAAATGTTTACTAAATACAAGAACATAGGAAAGGTTTCGTTTAATATAACAATACAAATTATTAAAATGAGTCAACAAAGGGAAACAGTATTTTTTATAGTACATCAGGCCAGGCACTTATCTATAGTGGTTTTGATATCTATTAGATAAAGCACTTTTATGCAAATCCCTTGACAAGGCAACATAACTTTCCCTTTTATAAGTGTGATAGAACTTTTGAGATAACAATTACTTTTGATGGAACAATAGCCTCAAATTGAAGCCCCATTCCCATGAGGTAAAAAACATGTGTTTTAAGTATGGTTTAAAACGAAAAAGTCATTAACTTTCATGTAATTTTGAATGTCGTTTCTTTGCTCAGAATATCTGAATTTCTAATAACTTAAATGTCCAAATCTTATTTGCTTATAAGTGGAAATTAATAATATTTTATATATTATTAATTTCCACTTATATTTATATAAGCTATTTTAAATTTCTGACTGGCATATCTGTTTCGTAATGTTACGAATTTACGATACTGCAAATCGTAGTAAATTATTCTGGCTTTGTGTTATTGACTCATGAGAATTTTAAAATCAGTTAGCTCGATAGAGCTGCTTGACCTGCAGGTACCTACAGTACCTACCCAAAATTATTAATTCATCCCCAAGCGAATGCGCACCATTTACAACTATTGTGTCTCTAAAGACCACGATTAAATTCCCACTACGCGTAACAAAATTCATAACGTCTTCATGTGATATAGTCTTCAAATCCCTTATATCCCCAAAAAAGGCCGGCAACGCACATTTAACTCGTATGGTATTGCGTGGGTCCGTGGTTAGCGCCGATTGCCTTATCATCAGATGACCCATACACACAAAAAGGTACCCAGGGAATTTGAAAAACAATCGTTAACTCGACTCTCGACTAGTTAAAAGATTACTTACCATCACTAAGTAAGAGCGCAACTTCGTACCTAAACGCATAAAAGGGCTATCAGCCCGCATTGTGGGTGCAACCAGAAACCAGTACTGCAGCCCTGGTTTGGAGTAGGAGAAGGTACGGAGTAGTTTTTAGTCAGTAAGTCTGACACTTCCTCTTGCCTCATTCAGAACGGGAGCAGTCATTTGATGATTTTCTCAGCTCAAAAAAGGGCTATAAAATAGACATGATCAAGAATAAGGTGACAATCAATCAATTCAGTTTGACATCGGTAATTCATAATTCGTAAGCCTTGGCTTGTAAGGTATTTCATGTTTACTCACAAACAACACAAAGATCAACATAGGTACTCGATACAAATACTCGAAGTTATTTATGGTATTGCAAGGATGTCCTTAGTTTTACTGTTTACTTAAAAATAACGTCATGCTTCGAGTTTGAAGTATCAAAATAAAATCACACTACGAACCATGACATAAGTGTAAGGTAGCTTCTACTGCTGTGGTTACTTATTTCATTGTATTCATTCTTTTTGTTGCGCCTCGTTGAATTTCATGTAACATCCTTATCTTTTCAATGTACCCAGTCGAAAGTGTTACATTATTGCTAAATATTTTGTTTGAGTCATACCCACTGCTTAATTGTAGCACTTTAGCGCGTTTTGCCAAGCTTATGAATTATCAGTTTAATCGCATAATAACTCTTTAACGACACTGTAACTAGTTGATAATATTTTATAGGGAAATGTAGATTAATCTAACGTAATTGGTGATATAACAATCAATAGGATGTCGTGATTAAAATATGTTTTAAACCAAATACATAATTTGATTGTAAACTTCCTAATGCTTGTAAAATAAACACATTCACATTATGCAACAAACTTTACATAATCGGTCGTATTATTTAATTGATGTTCTATCAGCTATAATGATTTGAATTTCTCTAAGAGTCGGCGGCGACAACGACTTTGTATGTAACAAGTGTCTTTTCACTTTTTTTTTCTCGCGCTGTTCAAGACACGCGCTTCTGCCGTTAACTTCGTACTCAGATTATCATTTGGTAGCGACCTAGCGCAGGTCTACACGACTATAGCGTCTCAGTATTTATTCTATTTGCACATTGTATTTTGTTTTATGTTTTAATGCATCCTTTTTTGTTTCTTTGGAACTTTCAGTGTTAAGGTACAGTGCATCATGTTGTGGGCAGCTGATTTTTATGTTATTTGTGTATACGATTATTGTATGTAAAATGCACAGAACTGTATAGTTGTGGAGTGTGCCTCTATGTAGTGCATGTGTTGATATTGCACCAGTAGCGCGGAGACATCATGACTAATTCACAGGTACTGTATTATTTTTCTTTGCACTTTATTATTTAGACATTATTTGGAAAGCTTTTTTCGCTGTAGTTAGTTGTTAAAATTATTTTGCAAGTGTTATAATTTGGGGTTATATGTAAGTATAGATTGCATCCGAGGAATGATTTATATGTTGCCAGTAGGATTTGCTTCTGTTATGATTGGATAGGATTTTGGGCGCATAGTTTTATGTACTTAAATAAAGAAATGTTGGAAAGCCCATAATATACAAAAATGGTAGTGGTATGGACAGAAGGCTAGTTAAATAAGAACTTACCTGCTTGAATAGGTAAGGCCATAAGCATAATTAGTATAGACGCATGTGCATTAATGCATATCATATTACGATGATAAGGAAGTTGAATACAAAATATCGTATTGTTTTGCTCTAAGCGTATTTAAAATATAGAATTAGGACTACTTTTAAAATTTTCGAACGGTATCAATTTAAAATAGAATACAATTCGTAGTAAAAAAATAACGGCCAGTTTTACAATATTTATTGATCACGTTCCTGTTATACCTGACGAATATATTGCAATATAACAAGTTCTAATATTTTTTATTTGCTTAATAATAATTTAAAGTACCTACATATTTCTAATTTATACAGTAATTGCAGTATTCGTATAACTTGATCGACGTGCATTTAGCGATAAATCATAGAGTCGTTCATCGCTTAAGCTCATTGCTCCAATTATGAATATGGAGCGTGTGTATAAGACACTTGATATTAATAATCCGTTACGCAATTATGGTTATTGCTCTTAATTCCCCACATACACGAATATGGCAGTACGTCGGTACAAAATTCAATTATTAAAACCTTTCTCACTAGCCACACACGTTCATACTTAATACGTTGAAGAAGTAAAAATAACACAATAAAATCATTTTTATTTTATAATAAAATTCTAGCTTCCATGTATTATTTTCTCCCTTGAATAGTCAACACAACAATTGGCTATTAAAGTCATAGAATAATGAAAGTAAAATTTATGCGTGGTTAAGTCTTTAAAGAGTTTTTAATCTTTACGTTATAAGAGTGAGAGTTTATGCTAATAACGCTAAAACTAGGCGCATTGGATAAACACTGTGTTGTTTTGGTTGTCGATTTCCGTATTTTCAAATTGATTCATATGAAATGAATTTCAATTCCATATACAATAAAGTTACCTAAATGTTATTCAACTTGCATATAATTTTCTCTTATTGCGTGCAAGTCATAGTAATGTCTGATTGTCTGTTAAAACAACAATTAACAAGATTATAGATGTAATTGCCAAACTAAATAAAAAAGAATTTGTCAATTTCATTTGATCATCTAAAGTGTTTTGTTTAAAAAAAAGTAAGTTACTTTTACGTTCTTCGCTTGTTATTTTTGTGACATAATAATATTGGCAACATTCAAACTTATAGGTGGCCAGTTACAAATCGTTCATTAAAAAATTCCATACGCAATTCAAATCTAGTAAAGTACAGATAAAAAATCAGACGTATTGATTGCTATTCATAGCTGATGATGGTCGTCCATAAACAGCCAGTCATTGAAAGCGTAAATAACATGCAGATAATGATGTCGTTGTTATTATAGAAAATATTATAGAAAAAAACGAAAACGTTTATCATAATTGTTGCTTAATAGTTATTACATGTCCGTTATTAAAATAGGAAAATTTTTCATCTATTTCTCTCAGCTCAATTTAATTTTTTTGACATTCTAAACAAGTCTTTTTTCTGTTATATTTATTTTATGTCTAATAATGTGTGTATCTTTGACCAGACTCTATTTCATTTCGTAACCCGTCACGCGAAATACACTTACACCAACTTCGGTGGCAGCCGGTGAATTATTACTATTAGGCAATGTGTTAACTTTCTCGTTATACAGTAAACTATTATATGATGTATAATAATAAATATTTGTGTTAATATAGTTTATGTATGTATATGTACTATATGCTTCGCAATGATCTTTGCCTTTTCTGTTTTCCTGCAGCTGACACTGGACGTTTTTCAGGTATGGTTCCGTGGTGTGAGAAGCTCCAAATTCCGCCATGTTTACGGCGTACCTTTCAAACGGGAGCGTTGCTATGACAACATCAAAATAACTAGGAATGCGCACGATTCTAATTTCTGCGCTGTCAATCCTAAGTTCGTTGCCATAGTGACGGAGGTGGCTGGCGGTGGAGCCTTCCTTGTTCTGCCTTTGGATCATGTAAGTGCAAACTCGATTTTTATTAAAATAATAATAATCAATAATATGCAATATTTCTATTTCACTATGTACATTTCATTAATGAACTATGCATACCAGCGTTTTTAAATGAGTGCAGTAATACTATGATGTACTGCAGTCATTATATTTTACCTTTCATAGAAAACATTTTTCACTGAAACTAGACGAATAAATTATATTTAATAGCAAAGAATTTATGAAACAATAGCACGAATAGTCCTTACTGTAGTAGAAATAAATAAATCATCGATTGTTTTGTGATAGCGTAGTGTGTCTTTAAACGACGACAGCAAGAATTAAGTTCTCGAAATTTCGGAATGGTATTCCATGATCCTTCCGTTGGATGCGTGGTCATGAAAAAATGCAATTGTTTGAAAAACAACAACAACAACCTTAAATACTTGCGATGACGGGATGTAAAAAAGAATGTCTGTTGTTTGAATAAGCGATGTCGCAAACATTTCAAATCCTTGAAGCGCCAAACATCATTTATAGTACAGGAACATCTACTTTTTGCGATTAAGGGCTGATTTTTCAATAGTCAGATATTTAAGGAATAAAATTGTTGCTGTCACTGTCTTATTACAAACATTCTGATGCGACAGCATCATAGTTATACCCCAGATAACTTTTATCTATCTAGCACTAACTGCTAGTATAACTTAAAATCTCCTATACTCTACATGCTCGTAGTCTATTGGGTATTTACATGTTACAATATAAACCATAATCCTGGTTAAAGATTAACGCAAGCTGAAGCCATACTAACCGACCATTGTAATACTTACACCGAGTTAAAGAAGATTAGTTAATTAATTAATCAATTAAGCTTCTTAATGTTAACTTAACCTCTCAGAAGTTTTTTGTTTTGTCACATTGATAATCTAGTTTTAAGATTCAAGAAATAAGGTAAGTATAGTATAGTCAAGGACGTAAATTTCCAATAATTTGCCTCGTGTTTTATGGAGTTAGTGGAGGTCCAACGATATATAATAAGGCACAAATTTAAGATTATAAAATAGTTATTAAATATTATTTTCTATTTGGGGTATAGTACTAGTGCTATTAACATTTTTTAATATTCGTAGAGAGTCGGGAGAGCCATGCTTCGGCATGAATGAGTTGGCTCGACCGGAGTGATACCACAGCCTAACATTAAACTGGCGTGAAAGAAAAATCACGTTGCGTTTCATTTCGTTTGATATTACGGGTGTCCATGGGCGACGCTGATTGCTTTCCATCACCTATCATGACCTAATGATATAATTTTGAACAAAAAGCCTACCTGAATCTATATCCTTACGATTTACATACGCAACATTAAAAATTGAAAAACCTAGCAAAGTATTAAACCTTTTTGGCGAAAATCCATTTACCTAGTAAGACGTCATCGGTCGCCCAACACCAATATTTGCGCCTTTTATTGGCTTTATGGCCGAACCGCCCTAGCTTGTGTACCCCACACGATATATGTTTCATGTTTGTACAAGGTGGATACTTCCAGATTAATCAGTTTGATTTGTTGTCTTGGCCAGAACCTTAAACAAAAATAGTCGTCATTAAGTTAATAAAACCTTTTTGTTTTTCTATCTGCGGTTGCGTGAAACGTCACTTGTTGCCACCTGCCCCTGTAATATACATATATCCTCGATTAAAAATAGTTAAGATAATTATTTTTTTTTATTTTTTTTATTTTTTATTTATTTATTTAAGTCAGGCATCTGAGGCCCATAGAGAAAACAATACATAAATATATTATAACATTAAATCATAAACTAATACATATGTTACATAGATAACTTAAAAACTAATGCACACGTAGTGTCGGCGTCGTGTTACGCTGCGTGGTGTCGCGTAGCCATCTTCGGAACCTCCGATATACGACACCCTTCGGCCAAAACTCTTCCTTGAGGAATGTCTCGAAGTGATGAGTTGGAACTCGCACCATGAACGAATTAAAGTTCGTATTGTGGCGCGACTCCAACTTCGCCACCCTCAAGGTCCAGTTGGTCTTGGATCGGACATACTCCACGATCTGCTCCACCGTCGTGGTGTGATGTAGACGGGACACGTACAACTGCGTCGTTGGTACTGCAGGACGCAGCAGGATGTTTGGTCCAGTTAGTGCAGTTCCGCACTTATTCCTACAAGTTGGCCTCTTTTTTCTCCTTTCTACCTTTTTGAAGCCATCCTTGTCGCACGTGTCCTTCTTAGGACTAGTCTGTGGCTGTGATGTGCCACGGGTTTGTTTACCCCCTTTTGCTTTGGCCCGCTTTGTTTGCGTCACAGCGGGCTTGTTGGTGGCTGCAACTGCTGCGTAGGCGCGTTTGGGGGTCGATGTTCCTACGCAAGGTTCGGCCGCAGGTGTTGACACAGCAGCGGCGGCGGCGGCGGGGCGGCGTGCATCGTCAGCTACATCGGCGACCGGTGACGCACTCGAATTCGCCGACTCGAAACTGATGACAGACGCGTTTTGCGCACCGCGACGAGTATTCACATTAATTACATCAAATGACCCACTTATAGAAACAGCGTTGCGCAACAATGCTACTTCACCACGCAGGTCACTGATGGTCACCTGTGAAGCTTCCATCTTGGACTTCATATCTTCCAGGCTCGCCTTAAGACACGTTATGTCTTTCAACAGCCTGGTGACATCGACATGATCGAACGTGACGGGAGGCAGCTTATGCAAGTCTTTCGCCACGAACTCAGGCACGTCATCAGGATCTGTCCTCTTCAGCAGGGAGATGATGTCCTGCAGGCTCTTGTCCCCACCGTCCCTTCGGCGGGATGGCATCTGCTCGAGTTGTCCGAGCGACTTGAAGAGTAGCAGCTTTGCACTGCAAACCTCATCCTCTTTGTAGGCTGATCTGCAAATCTGCACGATGCTGACCTCATCCATATAATCGATGGCATGATTAATGAATGCCAAAACTTCGTTGGCGATGAGCGGTTTAGAACTCATCGCGACTAAAACGGGCAGCGGCTAATGCCGCGCAAAACGCGAATATAATATTCGTACCGTGCAGCGAAAACGCGACTGTTCTGTAGCGCGCATTGCACTGCACTCTGTTACTTTAATATTAAAGTCTATGGTATTTCCAGAAAGGTCATAAACACACCTGTTCTTGTTAGACTTGTTGCTTCTGACGTTTGAATTGCTATATCTTGTCCAAAATGCTTTGTATCCGATTTTTGTAATAACTTTCTTCCCTTTATAACGTAGATGAAGATATTAGAAAACTAAAACGCACCACTACTAAATCAGATGTGTCATCTACCCCGGTCACCGGGGCGTGTGGAATCGGCGAGAGGTGTCGCGCGGTGTCCCACAGGGATCGGTCCTGGGACCTCTCCTGTGGAACATCGGGTACGATTGGGTCCTACGCACCGACCTCCCGAGCGGCGTCAGCATTGTCTGTTATGCTGACGACACGCTGGTGCTGGCGAACGGGAGGTCGCATCAGGCGGCGGCCGACCTGATGTCACAAGCGGTTGCGACAGTCTTTGCAAGGATCCGGCAGTTGGGACTCGAGGTGGCGCTCCACAAGTCCGAGGCCATGTGTTTCTATGGCCGTCGGAGCGCGCCACCTCCAGGTGGGTCCCAAATAACGGCAGGAGGAGTTACCATCGGCGTCGAGTGGGCGATGAAGTACCTGGGCGATGAAATATCTCGTCCTCGACAGCCGATGGAACTTCACGGAGCATTTTCGTCGTTTGGCCCCTAAGTTGGAACGGTCTGGGGCCGCGCTCAAGCGGCTCCTTCCCAACCTCGGGGGGCCAAACGCCTCCTGCCGGAGGTTGTATATGGGGATTGTGCGATCCATGGCCCTCTACGGTGCCCCTGTGTGGGCGCCGGACTTGAAGCGGCGGCCGGCTCGTACGCTGGTCGCGTCCCAGAGGGTCATGGCTATCCGAGTAATCCGCGGGTATCGCACGATCTCCGGGGAGGCGGCGAACCTCCTTGCCGGATCACCGCCGTGGGATCTAGAAGCGAAGGCGCTCGCGCGCGTCTACAGTTTGCGCGCAGACGCGCGTCGCCGGGGCGAAGATCCTCTGCCGCGCCAAATTAGTGCGTGGCGGAATGAGCTCCGGCGAGATCTCATGGCAGAGTGGAAACAACGACTGTCGCAACCGAGGGCCGGGCACGCTACCATAGCAGCGGTAAGACCCCTCTTTGAGGAGTGGCTTGGGAGACGCCACGGCGTCCTCACCTTCCGTCTGACGCAGGTGCTTACCGGGCACGGCAGCTTCGGTAGGTTCCTGTTTCGGATTCAGCGGAAGGAAACGCCCGAGTGTCGTCATTGTGAGGACCACCTAGAGGATACGGTGGAGCATACGGTAGCGGTATGCCCTGCCTGGGCTGAGCACCGCCGTATCCTCAGGGAAGTGATCGGCGGCGGCGACCTCTCGCGCCCGGCCTTAGTCGAGGCCATGGTGCAGAGTGAGAGGAACTGGGACGCCGTCTCCTCCTTTTGTGAAGCAGTCATGCTCGCAAAGAGAGAGGGGCCCGCGTGAGGGAGCAATCCTCCTCCTCACGCCCCAGCAGCCGCAACTGGCGACACTACGGGCGTCGGGGATCGAGGGACGATCTCCGGCCACCGTAAGCACGGGCCTGCGGTCGGCGAGTAAGGGCAGCTCGCCGCCCGACCAGAACCAGGCCCGAGCGTACGGCGCGTAGCGTTCCGCGCGCGCATCAAAGAGCCATTCGACCACCACAGATGGGGCCCTAAAGGGCTGATGTTCAGCCGGGGTTGCGGGGTAAGCGCAATGAGGTACCGCGACCTCGGCACAGAGCAGGAGAAGGAACAGGGGGGTTTTTAGTCAGTAAGAGTCTGACACTCCCTCCTGCCCGGCCCTGGGCGGGAGAAGTCATTTGATGATTTTCCCCTCACAAAAAAAAAACCACTACTAAATCAATTTGCCTATAAACTATTCTCTCACCTTGACTTCTAAATAAAGTTTGAACTATTATCCGCTTAACTCTACCTCGCGTTCAAAAGTAATTGTAGCCAAACATGCGTTATTGAAACATCCGCCGTATAACCGAATCGTGGTACTCACACATCAAAATGCTGTGATTGCAATAGCGTGAGAAATGTGTATCATCTTGCTACATTTCAAGCTACAATATTTGCACATGTCATTGAGGTTACCGGAGGCAATATCCCCATCCCCATCCCCATCCCCCATCCCCCATCCCCCATCCCCCATCGCCAATTTCTAAATCCCTATCCTAATATCCCGATCGCTTATTGCTTACTATCAGAGGATCCGTCTTTTCATTTGCAGCTTTATCCTAATAAAAATTAAACGTTGCGACAAATCCTTGCTTCGCATGCGTGACGCAATTGTTTCGTTGCAACATAATTGTTTTGTTAAAGCGGTCAGTTTATCTGATGTGAAATGATATCTTTATGTAGCGGAACACCTCTTTTACTTATTTCGTAAACAGTTTATTAAATACATCAGTGTTTCAGAATACTTATTACGTCATAAACCGAAGCCATTATAAAGGTGTTTGAGATTTTTAGTTTCGCTTTCTGTCACACTTTTAGGGATTTGCGTAATACCTGGCAACAGAAAATGCAATGTCAAGAATACAGACTTTTCCCAACTGGGTGGAGCTAGAAGGGCAAAATTGTTCCGATGTAATTAAAACAAAAAACATACAACCTTATTTTTCTTTAATTCCAAAATTATAATTTCATAATCAGAAATCATTTAGTCCAAGTAAGGCTTACCCAGGCACTTCTGAAACGTCAAAACAGAAAGGATAGTACCTAAGATGCTTGTCCTAAAGTTAAGATTCGAATGCAGAAGAATCCATGAATGATATTTGAATTTGGCAGAAGTTGAAATAAGATCTTTTTTTATTCTTTTCCAGACTGGCAGGTTGGACTTCAACGCGAGCCGTGTAACTGGCCACAAAGGCCCCGTGCTCGACATAAAATGGAATCCTTTCAACGATAACATCATAGCGTCGTGTTCCGACGACTGCACGGTAATTTCGTTTGTGCTATTTTTTTTTTGTTAAACTTTTTTATATCCGCAATTTGTTCATGGTAATTGACGCCTATTACTTGGGGATGTTCCGTCTGAACAATTTCTCGCTTTTTGTTTGAGCGAAAGCGTGTAGCCTGGTTGTCAATATATTATTAGACGTAGCTATATCATTACGGGTAACGAGAATTTATTCAATTATCTTATCAAGCAGTGTTCTCTCTATTATGGTTCATTGTTATCATTTGTTTTGGTGTCGAGCAAATAAGTGATAAAAATGCTAACGATGTTCTGTATTTGTTGTTGCATATGATTGTTTTGTTTGAAACAATGGTGGTTAGGAGCAATATAATTTAGTGCTCGATATGAACTGCAATTGATTTTATTTATAAGAACGTGATATCAATTGAATTTAATGAGATTCTCGACTTTTATCTGATGATTGATTCATTCAAATAGTTGTGGAATGTATCACATTAATTGCCCTAAATTGCCTTCATAATCTTTTTCATTTTAAACCGTATAACAAAACTATCGTCTATACTAAGGACTTGTGTATTATTCTTACATTTCACACTACACAGCCAATAGTTATTGAATGTCAATTAGTCTTAATGCTCGTAAATTCTCGGTACAGGCTCATAATAGGGTACAGTAGGCACAAGAGCAATGACGTACCGCGTCGCAGTTTATAGCAGGTGTTAGAACGAGGTGGATTTTACTCACTAAGAGTTGCGAGTGATGTTGCCGGAGGCACAAATAATCTTCTCTCCCAATCCCTAAATTTCCGAAACCGTAATCCCCAAATGGCCGGCCACGCAAGTGTCCATAGGCGGCGGTGGACTGCTTACCATTAGGTAATGCACCTACTCGTGTGCCGCCCTTCTTTTTGTAAGGTGAAAATCACATAATAACTTTTCTCGCCCAAGGTAAAGCCAGACGGAGTGTCAGAGTCATATAGAGTGCCGCCCTAGCACATACAAAAAATGTGACTTATTTGTTTTCCACAGGTAAAACTATGGCACATTCCGGACGGTGGTCTCTCTATGCACCTGACGGACTGGCTGGTGGAGCTGCACGGCCACAAGAGACGCGTCGCCTACATCGAATGGCATCCTACAGCTGAAAACATATTGCTTAGTGCTGGCTTCGATTACTTGGTAAGTGTTTAGAAAATGCCAGCTTTTTTGCTTATCAGCCACAAGGCCACTTCTAAAGATTTCCATATCGATATTTTGGAAGCAGGCCACATCTGTCGACTTTCAGGATATTATCCACGTGTTTTTACAAACACAGAATTAAAATTTTTGCGTATCAACTTGTAGAAATGATCCCAGAAAATGTCCAAAGTTTTTTTTTTTTTGCAATGGTCCAATCTGACCGCTGGCTCGCCCGGTGTTAAGCGATGATGCGACTTACGATGGAGCACGCTTGTCCATGTAGACATTGGATACCCAGGTTATATGCTCTTCGGGGAACGTAGACTCCGGCAAAGATATTCCGTAATTTGTCTAGGCAAATTGCCATCTTTTTAGGGGAAAACTAACTAAGTTTGTTAAAATAGTATATGTTAAACGGCTTACTCTCGAAACGTTTGTTGAGTTACCTCGACTAGTTTCAACCTATGCTAGGGGCTCATTTTAATGAGCAGCATAGTGCGTTCATTGCGTTGCGTCTTTTTTTAACAAAGTGTATTTAAAAGCACTGATACTTCTAGAAAACTTTCAAATTAAAACTGATTGAATTACCTACTCTTTTATTTAGACTTGTGCAGACTACCCTAATACGTTGATAAAGAATTGTAAACAAATTCGTTAACCACATGTTTCGTACAAGTATTTTGTTTGCTTCATGATTCATCTCTGCACTTGGCTCTAATGTTTTATCAAGTTTTGCACCCGTTATCTCCGTACTAATGACTGACACAACAAAGTCGAAGTTTATTTGCTTGTAGTAAACAAGCAAACTTCGACTTTGTTACCAAACGTTAATCGCTAAAATGGGTATTTATATTTACTGTTTGTAATTTAATTAATTTACATTCACAAAATGTATTTTATTACAAAAGTAAAAAATAGGTGCTATCCCAGACTGTACCTAATCTTTGTCGGTGCAAATTTTCATTCAGATCCAATCAGTAGTTTTGACCTGAGAAAGTAACAAACATCAATCTATCAATCTATATGTTTAGTGGTTGTCCATATTATTTACATATATTGTTTTGCGTATTTAATATTAGTAGGATATGTATGTGCAAATAAGGCGTGATACCATGTTATGTATAATTTTAAAAGTATATTATGATATTTATTCAATAAAAAACAAATATTCTGAACAAAACAAGCGAATCAAATCACTTAGAAGATTCATCAAAATATCATCTCAACACATTTTTTTTAAAACAATCGGTAAACACTTTCGTACTCGAGATTACCGATATATACAGGATGATATTATTTCCGTTTGTCACGCGAATCTAAATTTGCAAGCCGTTACACCGACTATTCGGTTTTGCGTGATGCTTCCAATGAAACATTGAAACGGAGCAGTGTTAGGGGTATAGCTGAACAGTTATTTATGCGTCTGTAGTTATGCGATGCTTCAAAATTCATAAATAATTGATATAACTGTTGTGTGCTCTTTATTTTTGCACTAAGGCTAGTATTAAAATAGTTTCAATTCGATCGACGAGTACATAAAAGATGCAATGTTCAGCATTTTTTTTTATTAAGGCTACCTATAGTTATTCCTGGAAGAGATTGGTCGCAAATTGATATTAAGGTACCGTGGCACAGCTCGGAGCAAGATAAATGACGGGGGTGTTTTAGACTTACTGACTGACTATGCTTCTGACATTTTCTCCCATCCAATTCAGTGCGGGAGGAGTTATTAAAAGCTTTTCCCCTCTCATAAAACCCCTTTAGTAAATTTAATTTGGTATCTATTAACAAATATGTATGTGTACAAATTTATTTAACAAAACAAGGTATTATAATAGCGACATTTCAAAGTAGTACACAACCTTATTCTTTAACAGAATAGATGTCTTAAACGTACCGCATTCAATCTCATTAGACAGAGCTTGTTTTTATTCTTATCTTAACCTTGATCTTGTCTGTGCCTTTGTTATCAACGGCACGGTGAGTTTCAACTCAAGGCAGAAACGAGACTATCAATATTTGCTACACTATATTAATCTACCGGTATATGAGACACAATAGAAAACACATTGTGTCTCGCGCATAACTACGCTACGCATATCACGGGTTAATTGTGTTTTGCTTGGTAATTTAATAAACAGCAGCTGTGGTAATTTACCACGTTGTTATTTAAGGCTGACTTGCCATCTTAAGCGCGGGTCTGCGGACAACGACCAAGCGTAGCTCGCAGATCGATCAAAAGACTCCACCTTAAGATGCGTAGTGTTCCGTGGGCGCATCAAAGAGCCAACAGACCCCGCAGATTTGGCCCAATAGGCCTGTTATTCTTCTAGGGTGTAAGCGCAATTGTGTAGCGCTACCTCTTCCTGGAGAAAGAACTGGGTGGTTTTCAGAGTCTGAGACTCTCTGTCGTCACACTCTGGGCAAGAGAAGTCATTAAATGATTTTCCACTGCAAAAAAGTGACTTATATTCTAACTTCTTATTTTACAAACCTGAGAACGCACTTGCTACTCCTCTGATGTGAATGTCCAATTATTCATAAACGTAATATATTTAAAAAAATATCTAATAATATTGCAAACCTTTTAATTTATTTAGAGTTATTTTTGCTCGCTGACAAATGCTTGCGAATTTCTTCTGCTGAATTGTCAAACTTTTACAAGGTATTATTAGTCAAAGCGCCTGGTTATGTACAAATTCCAGATAAGCTTAAACTAAAATTAAATTCCATATTTTATCTGATCTATAGCTGCTATTCAGACGTTGTGAAACAGGACTAAATATTCCATAGCAAACAGACTCTTCACAAAAAGCAATAGTTACTTAATGACCATCTTAAATTTGCAGATCTTCGTATGGGACGTCGGTAAAGGTGAAGTGGTGAAGGTGATAGATTGCCACACGGACGTGATCTACTGCATGTCGTTCAACCGGGACGGTTCATTGCTCGCTACCACCAGCAAGGACAAGAAACTGCGCGTCATCGAGCCTAGAAGAGGCATTGTTTTGTCGGTTAGTAATTACTAATTGTTCTGGCCTTTTTTTCATGCACAAAGGCGATTTAAAATGTCTATCTTTTATTATGACGTATTTCATTAATGGAGAAATGTAATACATTATTTCGAGACATTTGCTTTGGTTGAATGGTCACTAGCCCGATAAATAGCAGTGGGATTGTTAGAATCACAAGTCGGCAAATAATTAAAATTAAAATAAAATAAGTATTTTATGTATTTTTGGTATAGAGCCGATTGTGAAATAGTACAATAAACTTGTCCATAATAACATTCGCTGAGAATAACGACTTACTACTTTCGTGAATGAACTATAGATTACGCTCTGCATTAACGTCGTCGCGACGCGCACGGTGAAATTAATTTCAACATTTGAAAACTTAATTAAATGAAACGTAGTATGTCTTACCAATAGTTACTTATCTATTATTGAATTAATTCATTAGCACAGCTTACCGAAAAATACTCCAATCTTTCTTTGACACAAGAAGTCAAGTGCTTGCCTGATAACTGGTTAGTTCGATGACTATTATTAAGCAGCCTTTTCTTTAATATATAATCACAAAAGTAAATCTCCATCTTCCTTAACCTTACAGGAAGGCCTCTGCCATACAGGCACGAAAGCCTCAAAATGCACGTTCCTTGGCAGTCAGGGGAAAGTGTTGACGACTGGTTTCTCCCGCTACAGCGACCGTCAGTACGCTGTATGGGACCAACATGATTTGGACAAACCCCTCGTGTGCGAGACCATTGATAGCTCTTCAGGCGTTGTGTTCCCCTACTATGATTATGATACTAATATGGTAAGTCTTAATCTAGTTATGCTTATGATATTTGGCATGGTTAGTCGTAATATTTATTATAGAATAAATTCTCTAATACTGTTTTCAATCGAAGCTCGGAACCTAGGTTTTGTAAAAAAAAAAACATTTGGAAAAAAGAACGCTCTTATAATATACCAAACTAGATTTGCCTGTACCCGGTTTCACTGTAGAAGTATTCGATGAGGGTATCAGAGCTTATGAATACTGAGAATTTTTCAAATAGGTCAAGTAGTTTCGAAGCTTTTTAATAAAATCAAACAAACAATCAATCTTATTTCGTTATAACATTGGTATTGATGTTTGTATTTAATATGAAAATCTTTATTGTATAAAAACGATAGTTTCTACGATTTTTTGTTTTTGGTCGATTGTTGAGTCGTCTACCATACTTATTTCTTTTATAGAAGCTTCAACAACGCTAGAACTGTGCTTCATCCAAACTAATATTATAAATTCGAAAGTAACTCTGTCTGACTGTTTGTCTTTTCTTCACGCGTAAACTACTAAACCGATTTCTGTAAAATTTGGTACAGACATAGTTTGGAACTTGAGAAAGGACATAGGATAGTTTTTGTACCTAAAATCTGCAGGAAGTCACTATTCCATGCGAACGGATTCGCAGGCAAAATTTAGTATTACATAAGTTAATTAGAAAGTAGGTACTCAAAAAACCATGCTAGTGAAAAGAATTTATTTTTCATTGACGAAACAACGTTATTTATTGTGTCGAGACTCGTCAATTACAAGCTAAAAGTTATTTAAAAGCACCAGTACATATGCAAAACCTATTAGCTAGATGCTATCTACCTAATGGACAGTTTTCCCATAAACGACACATTAGGGAGTGATGTAAATGGTGTCCTATGTAAACTACATACAGTACAAAATACATTTAAGTAATTATCTTTCATGGTTTACATGTAATCAAGTAAGTACAAGTGTGCAGAACTTGAGTATTAATTGACATTTCAAATGTTCACCATTACTTTTGCATAGTGTAGAACCTTCTTCGATAAATGGTACTATAGCCCTTAATTAATTATTTAAATATTATTTTCCGTTCTCACTGGTTCAATGACATTTTTTTTAAATAGGACATAAAACATCACTTATACACGTCAAAAGGTTTCATCGTGGTCAGGAGGGTCTACATATGCGTTCAATAAAACAAATAAACTTAATTAACTACAGATAACATCACAAATCAAACAACAACAACTATATATAAAAGTCTTTACATATTATGAAAAGAAAAAACTACAGACAAATCAGCAGACTGAACCTACTTTATTTAAATCACGAATCACATTTTTATCTTTAACTCATAATTTTTTTACCTATCTAGGTGTACCTGGCTGGTAAGGGCGACGGGAACATAAGATACTATGAAGTTGTCGACGAAGCTCCCTACGTGCATTTTCTCAATCAATTCCTCTCTGGAAATCCACAAGTAAGTAATTATAGCTAAAAGATACTTTATTTCTAGTAACTTAAGATCTGTATTGTGTTGATGATAAAAATGCTATAAGCTACGCTAAATATAACAATTATTTTGTAATCTGAATAGCAAAACTAACGTCATCAATATGTGATTCGGTTTTTATATTTAACCTGGTAAGGATAGATAAGACTAATCTATACTAGAACTTACTACAAGCTCTTAAAGTCCAAATTAGTCCGCTGATACACATAATTGCCCTTTAATAAATTGGTTTGGTGTTATCATAAAATCCAGTGTAACACTGCTCCGCATTGCTAGGCTTGATATGAATCTAATTACTGTGTAATCTGGACCTAGGTATTAGTTTTGTACCTAGATATAACTGTTGATTAATAAAATAGCTACGTATCGTGAAAAATTTGATGATCCGATGGTAGGCCTTTTGGGGTTGAGGGTTTTTGGGAATTTAGGGATTGGGGAACTTACGTAAACTTACTAAAATCTGTTCTTATTATCATTCCTCATCGAGTTGCAAGAATGCAAAACAATATGTACAAAACATCCTGGAATAATATTATTTACTTTTGCTTATCCCTTGGCCAATACGACTAGGGGATTTATATTTTTGTGTGGCATAATATGACCAATGTATTATGTAGGTTTCTTTTTTTATGGGATAGGTCGGCAAACGAGCACATGAATTACCTGGTGGTAAGCAATCGACGCTGCTCATGGACACCCACAACACAAAAGGACTTACGAGTGCATTGCCGGTCTTTTGGGAATGAGGGTTGTGGATATGTAAGGATTGGGAAGGGACCGGGGAGGTGGAAGGATTTGGGCTTCAGTAACTTCACTCACACGTTGAAACACAACGATTTGGTTGTTATCTATTTTTAACGAAAATCAATAAATGTAAACATCTTTAAAGAAAACCATCATGTAACGAAAGTTAAAGATTTTCACATTCTCTTTGTTAATAATTAATTAATTATTATATTTTTTCCAGCGTGGACTAGGCTTCATGCCGAAGCGTGGCGTGAATACGGCGGCGTGCGAAGTATTCCGTTTCTACAAGCTGCATACTTCACGCGGCCTTTGTGAGCCTATCTCGATGATTGTACCTCGTAAATCTGACTGCTTCCAGGTAAACATAATTAACCTCTTGTCTGCCAGTGTATGAGACACGATACAAAACACATTGTATATCTGCACTCCCGTCATTTTATGGGCAAATATCCACTTAGTTACAACATGGCATAGAGCTACTCATAAATTAACAAAACATCATCCATTATCAGCCCTATTTCGTCCACTGCTGGACATAGGCTTCCCCAATTGCACGCCACTGATCTCGATGTTCAGCTCTTCCATCCAACCACTGCCAGTCACCATGCGGTTATCGTCATTCCACCTAGTTACAGGGCGCCCTACAATATAAAACAATCATGCAAAAGGACTTTCTACCGTTATTTACATTACATTTCTATACACTTTTTATTATTTCATTTACATTCCTATCCCAATGGAGAATGGCTTGAGTTATATAATGTTATATTTATTGATCAAAAGTTGTATACACCAAAATGGCGTACAACAGCTTTGCAGCAATTAGAAAGAACATCTCATTTTAATTGAAGCTATGTTCAAGCAGGCTAATTGTTATTTATACTTAAACATTACAGGAGGACTTGTACCCGGATACTGCAGCACCACAGCCCGCGCTGTCAGCTAAAGACTGGCTCAGCGGTATGAACTCGCCGCCTTTGCTCATCAGTATGAAGACAGGTATGTGTTTTCGAACATTGTATTCCAAGGTAAATGCTTTATGACATATACATACATACATAGTTACCATGTCATTGTAATACCTTTTTTACAAAAAAAAAGTTTTCCCGTCTCCATGATTGTCGTATCGTGAGTGCGTTTATATACATACAATTTAATTGCAAATACACATCACACCCAGACCCGGAACAACAATTTGTAGATCACACAAAGGGTTGTTCCGTGCGGGAATCGAAAACGCGAAACGTTGCGCGGGAGTCAGTTGCCCAGCCACCACGCTAATCGTGCAGTCAAATTATATCCTATGTTATTACTGGCAATAATGTGATTTATTTATAATTATATGAACTCTCCTCTTTCCAGGAGTGACTATCTCAACGCACAAGCCGCGCACCAGCAACAAGGACGCGCCGGCGATGCAGCCCCAGGATGCCAACAACAGAAAGAAGTTTGCCTTCCTCTCGCGGGAGACCACGCCCGACTACCGCCCACTCGGCACCTGGCAACCCAACGACCATAACAATGACTCCGAACATCTAGATGTACGTACCTATACGGAAACATTGCTAATAATTCATTATAACAATAAAATATACTCTTTTTTACCCGTGTTGATGTGTCATAATAGGTTTTTTTTGTATAATAGATCGGCAAACGAGCAGACGGATTACCTGATGGTAAGCAATGAGCGCCGCCCATGGACACCCGCAACGGAGGAGTTACGAGTGCGTTACCGACCTCTTAGGGATTAGGGTTTTGTAGATTAAGGGATTGGGGAGGGGAAGGATTGGGCCTCCGGTAACCTCACTCACACGGCGAAACACATCGCTGTGGTTGTTTCACGCCGGTTTTCTGTGAGGCCGTGGTATCACTCCGGTCGAGCCTACCCATTCGTGCCGAAGCATGGCTCTCCCACACTTGTTTATCCTATAATATTTTTTAGCCTATAATAGGGCTTAAAATACAACTGGTGTGTAATATAAAAAAAAAACAATGCCACATTCCACCCACAGTCAAACCACTAATCTGGTTTTGTGGGAAATTGAAATGAAACAATATACATTTCAATAATAATAAATATGGGTGTATCATTTGCGTAGTTTCATATTCAAGCAGTCTATAATGCCATATAAAAATACTATCATTATTTCTACAGGTGCAAGTGAATGAAAAATCACAAAAAACGAACGCCAATCAGAACACAAAGTTCCACCAACTGCAGCGCATGTTTGGCAAGCAGACTGGAGACGCTGAGCCCGTCCCACTCTACAAGCAGATCAACCAGGGAGACGTGTTCAGCACTGAACATGAGGTATGTTACTTCAATCTTGACTTCAAATATGACTGATTATCACTTCTACACCTTTATCTAGTACTAGCTTCACCCGCTGCTCTGCTCCTACAGATCGTAGCTTGATGTTTTATAGCCTTCCTCGATAAATGGGCTAACAAATAAAAAAAGATTGGGACCAGTTCCGAAGATTAGCGCGTTCAAACAAACAAACTCTTCAGCTTTATAATATGAGTATAGATTGCTTTCATTAATACATAAATATTAAAATACCTTATTATAATATATTTAGATCTCTAGAATATTTATTTAACTTGTCTTTTACAGTTACGCCTCGCATTTAACCGACAAGGCGAAGAGTTGAGGATCGTGAAGAGACAGCTACAGAACAGTCAGCAGCGAGTTCGGGAACTCGAGCAGTTGGTCGCCGCACTACAGGCCAGGCTGCAGCGCGACGGCTCGTAAGCCTGTCTCGGTCGCCTCTACATGTCCTTGTCTTATCGAGCGAACATGCTTCAGCTCTGCGTCGGAAATAGATGAGTAATGGAAACAGGACCTCGCGCACTAGCAAAGCTCTGAGACCACTGGTAGCGCCCTCGCGTTGTAAACTTGATAATGTTGAAACAATCAAGTCTTTAAGCCTTCTATTATATTTTGTGCCACACTAAATATAACCTTGTTCACAACAGCTACTAGTGGCCGCCATCTTAGCTCACGTAACGCGAGGCACTTGGAAATGTTCGTTACAAATGCTTGTAAAAACGTCGATCAAGCTTTAAGCACTTGATCTGTTCTTAGCCTTGTATTCTATATTATTTAAGGTTTAGTTGTCATTCCCTAGTCTAAACCACGTCTTAATGTTGTCACAAATTAATACTAGTATGATAGAGTATGTTTAAGGAACGCGTTGATGCGCACGTGATGTAAGGATCAAATATTTAAGAGTGGAAAGGAAGATTTACTTCATAGTTGACGGTATTGAATACTATGTCTCCAGTGACCTTATTCTTTAATACCAACCAGTTATTGCAGCAATGCCGAATAGCGGCAGATTTTTAACAAAAGATTTTGGGCTCACACACAGTGCCTATTTTAATATTAATTTTATTTATATACAACATTTTTAGTTATTCTTTACATTCTGTGTTGTTTTTATTATTATGTTCGCTCAAATTATGAGATCATGACATCTGCGGGGCAGTTTTATATTATAATGGGATCAAAATGAATCATTCCAAAAACTATGTTTTCGCTTAATTGGCAGCTAAGCTTATTGTGATTGTCGTTTATTTGAAATGGATTTAGGCTTCTAATTTTAAGGCCTATGAATTTTCTAACGAACAAAATTTGTTAATTGCTTTATTTAAAAATGAAATGTGATAAGACCATGACATTCTACTAAATGTACATGTCACAAACTATTGTTTATTATTATTACTTTGTGTATGTGATTTAACTGTTTTCTATACAATTTTGTATATGGATTATAAATCAGGGTTATGATTTCAATATATTTTAAATGACATGGAATATTGCCTAATTTAAGTTGACATTATAAGATCTAAAGAACGAATGTCTGTATGATAAAATCTTGTTACTAATTAATATTAGGCTGCTGATCTCGTGAAAGGCACTTTTTACTAAGCACTTCATGTTATTCCCATTTTTATAGTTAAAGCTTTGTATGCACTGGGCAAAATTGATGCGTAATACGCACAACATGTTCGCTAGCGATGCACAACTTTGAGCGCCGTCGCCAGCTGGGAAGCAAAATGACGTGCGTTTTGTTGCTTGTTTCCTCTAGTTCCTTTGGCCAAATGTTATCGATTACTCTTGCGACAAAAATCGTGTGTATACACATATGTACAACATCGCTGACTTATAACCCGTGTCGCAACATGTCGCCCTCAAAAAGTTGCCCAGTGGATACGAGGCTTAGTTGACATCTTGTTTGTTAGTGATTATGTTTTATAGTCTGATTTATGTAATAGCGTTACCTGTTATTTTATAATTGTGTTTTGTATTTCCTATGTATTTTGACAGCATTGTTTTACATTAATTTACGACGATCAAGCATTTACTTTCATTACTTATTAACGCTTGGTATGTATCTATGAATGGTATTCCTACATTGAGAATGAAATTGTACAAAAAAGTTACCTGAACTTTTTCTGTACATAATTTTAGTTAGATTAGGGTTCTGAACTAGCATCGTAACGGTTTTACATTAAATATAGGTGCTGGATCTTCTCAAGACTTTCAAGCCGTTTTGATTTGAGTGAAAATGAATATGAATTAGCTTGAAAAATATATTTGTATGTGGTACTTTGTGGCTTTAATGATTGTGTGCATTATTTTTGTATCAATCGCAATAATATGCCATGAAACGCCTATATAAAACATAAAGTTCCGTAAAACTTAAGTAAATCTGAATGATAACATTCCATTTTTCAGTATAAAACGCATAATATTAGTGTGGTAAGTGAAAATGAAAGTATTATTATGCATTAGCTGGATTATTTACTTGGCTAAGTCGGTGTTAATATTTATTATGTATTTTTATATCATGCTTATGTAGCACAAATTTTCAATAAATGTTTGGATAAGTAATCTTTGGCTTTTTATTACTTTGGTACTAATGCTCGAACTCACGAGAGTGTATTCCTTGTAAATATTAAATTTTATTGGGTCACTACTGTAAAAATTGCATTGAGTATGGAATTTAGTTACTTAGTAGTCAGCTCGGCTGTTTAACTTGGACGTCATCTATATAATACACACAGAAATATATTTTCTGCAATTACTTGTATGGGTCTCATCTATGAAATCTCAAGTATAGCTATTATCAATCTAGTTAATAGGTACTATAGCTTAACTAGTATAATCCTAGCCAGCACGGAACACATCTAAAACTAGAAATCAGCCGAATGAGAAAAAATGATCAGCCGGGGTTGCGGGGTAAGCGCAATGAGGCACCGCGACCTCGGCCCAGAGCAAAGTAGGCACGGAGGGGTTTTTAGTCAGTAAGAGTCTGACACTCCCTCCCGCCCAGACCCTGGGCGAGAGAAGACCTTTGATGATTTTACCCACACAAAAAGCTAAAAATAGATAAATAGAGCCGCCTGGTGAACACCCAAATTGCGAAACTTGCTAATTGAAATCAGGGTGGAATTACCGGTGCCTGGAACATGACTTGTAGTAAGTAATATTGTTATTTTATGTAAGAGAAAATCATCAAAGTCAAAGTCAAAGATTTATTTGCAGATAAATATGGCTAGAAAAGTTCTTATAATAGTAGTATAATAGTAGCTTAACATATTTAATCATAACATAATGACATGCAAATTTTGGTACATATTTGGCTTATTTAAATTGAAGGAATTCTTTTATTGTATAGAAGGAATTCTCAATTAACCACCTGCGTAAAGCCTTTCTAAAACGGACCATTGGAAGTTCTTTAATTTGTTTAGGAAGTTTATTATCAAATGACCTCTCCCTCCCAGGCTAAGTCGAGAGAGAGCGATCAGACTCTTACTGACTAAAAACCCCCGTTACTTCTCGTGCTGTAGGCAGAAGCCGCAGTGCCTCATTGCGCTTACCCCGATACATGTAGGTACAGTACTGCCACAAGTGAAAACTACTGGATGTTGCATTATCTCAAAATCTAGAGTTCTTTAATAAAAAAATGAATACGCCTGGTAATGGATTCACGAGGTCGTATAAAATTTTACTGTATCATAATAAATAACGGAGAAACGGGGTGAGTAGAATTCGAGGGGTAAATAGACGCAGAAGAGGGGTAAATAGATACTAGGAACTTAGATAGGAATAGATACTACCCGTTTTACGGTAGGTGTTATATATTGGAAAAACTGAAAAAAGTCAAAATAAAACTAACTTGTTCAATAAAAAACTTTATTGTACAAAAATAATATGTACGTGTATAAAATATGTATGCGTTACAAAGATATGTTACTATTTACTAGTCAGTCAATAACGGAAACTGAATTAGAGATTCAATATAGAGGTAAAAATAAATATATATCTAGGAATAATAATGCAATTCAATTGTTATTTAATGGACGGATAGTCAGTCAGTAGTTATATTCGATACATTGCAGAGAAATATAACACTAAATGAAACCTCAGAAACTATCAGGTTTACATACATGTACATCAATTTTCATTCATTCAGGCACTGGAGTTAGTGGCTACTAAAAATACTCATCTACAAAAAACAGCTAAAAATGGAATGCTCATTGTATTTGAATGTGTGTTCCATCAAAGTTAGAATCTCTTTATAAAGTAAGTGACTGCAAATAGTAATATTAATGGGAAGACGGAGAAATGTAAGCTTGTGGCAGAATTGCATCCATCACTGCCGCATGTAAATATGCAAGTCCTATACTCCAGTTTGTCACCTGGCTGTTGCACATAGTTGCAGTAATTACCTAAGTCTAATGATGAGCAAAACCTCTTTGTGCTTATACCACCTGAAAGAATATGAAAAATGTTAACAATAGATATTTTAATGCAGCTACTGATTTTTGTTTTGTAAGTCTGTAAAAGTTAGAACTTCTATACAATTGGGTTAAGACAATAGAAGTTTTTATGATATACACATTACCAAGAAGTCCCAGGTTTTGTCTTGTCCTAGGACTCCGTAATAACTGTGATCTTTGTGTATTACTTAGTACACATTTATATTGACATCCCCTTCAACATATTTGATGGTTTAAAGGTGTAAAATTAATAGGCTTCCGTTGCCTTTTATTTAAAAGGCTACCAACCAAAATAGTTGATAATTTAATTAATAAAAAACCTTTTTAAAGTATTTTAATATAGCATGCATATTTTAACTACATATTTCATAATGTGTGAAATGCAATACTCACCAAAAATAAAATAATTTTGTTAGTGAACCATATTTTGTGCCCAGTGCAATCTCAAAGCCATTCAGTGCATTATTATACCTGAATACTCAAACATTTACATTTAGAATGACAAACAAAAAAAAGGACAGTATTTGAATAATCAGGTTTAAGTGTATCTGTCACCATAGATATTTAGTGGGGAAAAAGTGCTTCAGTGATAGGAAATAAATTTATCCACCATAAATAATATTGAATCACAATCCAAAATATCCAACAACAAGTTGTGATAAACACTATACAGGTTTTTTTAATATCAATTGTCTCAACTGCCTGTCTGATTAGAGTAAATAAAAATAGTAAAATCTCTGCTTCAATCACATTTTGAACTAAAACTTCATTCAGTAATTCTCAAAAATCAACCATAGAGCTAGATTTTGGATTGAGACCTTTTTATTTTACTTTGACTGTGCATCTTAATCTCTCTACCGGACAGACCAGTGATAAAGCTGCATTATGGAACTAGAAACCCAAAGTTAATGTTAGTATGAACCTGTAAGTTTAATGCAGTATAGAGCATTGTAAACATGGTCACAAGGCATAGGCTTCAGTATCCCTCCATCTAAGTTCATCAGTCCATCACCACATTCCATAGTCGAAGAAGAGTTGCATTGATAACATTCTATGGCTAGACCTAGGTATTTTTCATAATTATTTTTATCTTTATCATTTGTTCCAAAATATTTATATTTTTATTATGTAACAAAATATGAAAACACAAAAAAATTTGATGTAAAAATAAAGTAAAAAATAATGAAATAAACAAACTTATCTTTTTTTCTGAAAATCTTAGAGTTAAGTAACAGCAATTGTAACTACATCAATTATGCAACAGTCAATAATTAGTTAACAAGTGATAATCCGACACCCTTATATAGTTATAAATTAAATTATAAATTAGTAGTTAGTGAGTTACAACCAGTTTAGAAACTTTACCCAAAAAGCATTTTGTTCTATGTCAGTGACCCATTTTCCAGTTTATTTCTGTATTAATAAAATGTTTATTAATAAGGTTAGAGCGTATTTCCCTTAAACTCTCACCTTCAAATCGACCGACGTGCTTAATACAATACTGAGCATTGTGTATCGTCGCACAATCGGTAGGTTGTAAATCTACATCGTTCTCTAAAAACTCATTACATTGGAATGGATTATTCGAATCCGTCCCTGAACACTGGTAGCAGTTTATTGAATAAACTAAAAACAAAAGAAAAATAACATAGAAATCAAAATAATAAACGAAATTGGAAATAATAACAAGAAACAACGCCCTTAAAATTCGTACCTGTTTTAAATGTGGCAAATGATATGCATAGGCAAAGGAATATTTTTTTCTGGAGGGACGGCATTGTAATGAAAGCTTTTGTTCATATAATTAACACACTAATTTAGAAAACAATTGAAAATCAATAAAAACCCAAGCCAACAACAATGGTTAACCGCTGCCTTTTTGACGTAACCCGTCTCAATCTCAACGATCTACTAATGTCAAGTTAAACTGTCATTACTTACCATAGATTATACGCTTATTTTGGTCAAAAGAAAATGGTATAATTTTATTTCAATAAAGTATAGAAATACAACGTAAAATAAGTTATTTTAATATTTTATCTCCGTGCCGTGCCGTATTATTACTTTATTAACGTATATATTGAGCACCTTCATACAAAACAAAATTTCTTGGAGGTACGACGCAGCAGATAATGTAAATTAATAATATGTTTGAGGGTTAGATTGCTTGGGTCAGGACGGCCGAGCAAACTATCTGTACAGGCTATCAAGTAATACTATTATTCAATTATATATTCTTCTCAACGAAGCACGATCCTAATTTATTCATTCATTGTGGGGATTTCATTCACTGTAGCCATTTAGAGTTACCATTATTGTTCGAGATTGTGCTTTCTGCGTGGGTAATATTTGAATAAAGTGATTAATTAATATCAGTGAAAGCTTTTAAAAAGAAAAACATTGTCAATCAGTCAGAACAAGTGTTGTTATAGCATACAAATTGAAGGACATATTTATAATACCAAATGTTTAATAAGGTGCTTTATTAAGTTGGTAGGTAAATATACATTTTACGAACTTGAAAATCCAAATAACACGTGAAATCAGATGATTGGGAAATTCAGTGAAAGTAACACACGACAGAGAATCTTTTCAATTTCTCTATTCATAACCAGGCTATCAAGTTTGGAAAGGGATAACTTATTACAACGCCATCTAACATAGTCAGATAACTTAAACAAAGCTAAACGCGTACTATCTGCAATTGATATTCATTCGAATAAAGATGACGTGCGCAGGGTGTCTTCAAAAACTTGTTACCGGCACTTATTATATAGTTTGTTGTATTTGTCGAAAACACTATGACCTTAAATGTGCAAATATAACTACCTATAATTATTTGCGCAAAATGTCTGAAGAGCAAATATCTTCGTGGAATTGTCAATTATGCATACGTCTGAAACCCAAACCAGGTAATTCATATAGCAGAATCCGCATTCAAACAAAGTCAATCAGTCCGTCAATTCCTAAAATTACTTCAACAGAAAGGAATAACGGACACATTACGATCTGCAAAATCAATACATGTGGGGTAAGGGACGATCAATTTACCAATATCTCTAAAGAGAATTTACCACCCCAGGAAACCATAAATGCAAACGCCCTAACTATAGAAAGGATCGAACAACTTCTTGACGTGAAATTAGAAAATAATAAAAGGGCAATTTTATCTGAAATAAAAGAACTCATTAGATCAGAAATAAAAGGGCTCATCGGGTCAACAAATAAAGGAATCGATGTGTTAGAAAATAAAGAAGTTATTGTGCCAGTTATTAAAGAAGCTGTTGGGTCAGAAATCTCAAATGCAACTCACGAATTAACAAACGAATTAGGTCAAAATCGTGAAAAGTTAGACAAGCTTACTTTTGATTACGAGAAAACCGAATTAGAAATAGAAAATTTGAAGAAAAATATTTTGAAGTTAGAAACTGTATACACTAAATTAAAAGACGAAATGCTAGAACTGAAGGAATTAGAACAAAATCACAAAACCTTAAACATTAATAATAATACTATTAAGAACATTGAAAATAACAAAAAAATTGTACTTCATGGGCTAAACGAGCAGAGTACTATGAAACTGGAACAGATCTATACAACAAAATAATAAACATTTTCAAAGATTATGCTGACATCGATATAACAGGCTACATTGAAGATATCTTCAGAATGGGCAAACATCGACATCGTCACCGCCGACCTGTAGTAATCGAACTGTTGAGCAAAAGGTTGTGCCGATATCTGCTCGAAAATAATAAGCTATTTAGAAACACTGGAATGTCGGTTTCAAAATTTATAGACCAAGAAACCGCTCTAAAACTAAAATCTTAAAAGAAGACACGTTAAAAAACAAGCCACACCCTACCCGAAGAATAAATTAAAGGATTAATTAATTAAAACCCAAGCGCACGCCGGCGTTCGCGCATCTATTGAAAAGCACTACTAGATTATACCAACTAGAGGCAGTTTGAAAATTAAAAAAAAATATTACTGTCATTTACTATTGTGTCGCGTATTATCACGATTGAATTATTAAGGTTAATAAAAATAACACACAATCATTTAAAGACTTATTCATTATATTTATTTCCAGATTGTTTTAAATTCACAATAAGTTTATATAAAAAAATATTTAAGTTTATATTATAATAAACAAATACTTATGAATCATTATGTCTAATATAATATAATATACAAACTACGGACGTCTTAAAGTCGTTAAATTAAACATTTAACTTGCATTCCAATTATTTTACACAGACAACATTTATCATTCATTCATTCATTCAATTTTTATTAGAACTCCTAAACGTTATAATCACAATAAGCATGAGCTTGTCTTAAACTCATGTAGACTTAATTTGTACATTAAAATTCTATTTTAAATGCATAACTTAGTTTATAATAACTAAAGGCAGTTTGAAAATTGAAAAAAACATTATTGTCATTTGATACTTAAAGCTATTATTTCAATATTATATCAATGGAATGTTATATATCAAAATTAGGCATCTAAATATCGAACGAGTAAATATTTTGATGTGTAATACTTATGACATAATTAAGTATAAAATAGGTACATATAGATTGAGTTATTGGCACTTATAACCACAGAACAGATTAAGTATTTCAGTGTAGTAAGTAGTAGTAGAGTATAAAAGTTTAAGAAAATTGTTTTACAATATAAAATAATGAATTAAATATAATAAAATTGAATACACTACGCAGTTTCTTTTACAATACTTTGTATAGATTTCGATGTCATGTGATCATAGTTACGTAATATGTATTCATTGTTTCCTACGAATTAAAGTTACGGACGCACAACAAGACAAAAACAGGTGGGCAATTCTATAAAATAATCTATTCAATACCGTCACCTCAAATGATAATTTACAGACATTAGAAATCTCGATTTAATGAACAATACAATAATATCACTGTTATAAAATAAAAATGTTGAAAAAGTATAAAAAAAACAAACTCCAAGATAGATATAGAGTTACCGTTAGAAGATCATAGATGGCGCTACTTACAGTTGAGACATTCGACATTAAAATCGATATCTTACTGTGTTTCCAGTAAGAAATGCTTATATAAAATTGGCACGGTGTGTTATATATTAGTTACTTTTTCTTTATCTTACGTGTAAGTAGCGCTGTCTAAAAGTTGTTGTTTTTCTATAGAACTGCCCAATAACGTATTAAGTTCAGTTGCTAAGGTTAGGCCTGAGTTGTAGTGAGCCTTCGACCCAGAAGTTGGGTCGTTGCATCATGGTCTGCCATAGGGTGACTTCTTTGCCGGTACTGTCCATCCAGTTGACGTTGGCACCCATGTAGGTTCCTGCGAAGAAAAATATTATTAGTAAGAAATGCAAGATTCGTTCAAATCAGACGTTCGCATATGGGATGGTAATTTTTTTAAGTTTTGGGCGACTAAAAGTTTCTCTTAAATAGGTTACTCAGTCGTACGCATGAGAAACATCATCATAAAAATGAGCATAATGAGTAAAGCGTAAGTTTTAAATTTTGTTAACTTAAATGAAGAAAAGGCATCAAGGCTTTTTTATGTGACATCGCTTTGCTGTTATTGCAATATTTCATAGTTTATATACTTTTCTCCTGTTTAATTAGCTACTAAAATGTCAACGTATTAGGGTTGTGAATACAATATAGTACATACCAGATCCAAGTGAGAGTCTGACGCCGCCCATGAAGTCGTTGGAGGCGAGTCTGTCGCGGTCCCATAGAGACAGTTCAAGGGCGCGCTGGGCCAGCTCGTGCGGGGCCAACCCACGGTACGTAAACGTGTGTTCCCATACCGGGCTCAATGTACGTCTGCATACAGCTGTTTTTTGCTTGGCTAGACGACCCCGCTCGGGGAGCAAATAGCTAGAAAAAGGCAAACAAATTTTAGAAATCTAAACGTTATGTACGTGGATGTTGTCGGCGGTGTCGTGATACCGCTCAAATAAAAACACGATGATTAATAAATATGTTTTAGAGTTCTACAGTTCTCAAAACTACTAAATCAGAGTGCCAATAGGAAGTAGAATAGGATTCTCATCATCTCTCATTTCATACACAATGTATATGATGCCTATGAGTCTACCTTGTACAGTCAGCATCAAAAGTTCATCATATTTAGATTTTCAAAATAATATAAAATGGTGTTCAGTGACATTTGACGAGTAGGGTTCAGTTCATTTTGAACTTAACGATGTTCATTCAATACGAAATCACACTATCAAGAAGATAGGGCCACTATCTTGTTGATAATGTGATTTATGGGTGATTAGTGTTATACAGTGGTTTTGAAAATCTAAAGGTTCGTTTAGATTATGCCGTGCATACGCATTAATTTTTCAATCGGTTCAATCGAAAGTCGTCCTATCGTCCAGTGAAAATACTTCCCTTGAATTTTTTTTACTTTAATACCTCAGTAATGAAAAATTCAAAAGAACTAGTACTGGCATCCAGTACTAGTTCTTTTTTATTTTTTTTGATTAGACGACTTTCGATTGAACCGATTGAAAAATTACTACTTTTTATTAACTTCTTATGGTTGTTATAGCTACTTAATATGGTCATAGCTTACCTCTTGCAGAATACATCGGCGAGTCCATTAGGCTTGGTAGCGACGAGGTTTTTGGCTTCCTTGACGAGTACATGCAGCGTGCCCTTGCCACGCGCGCCCTCTGCCAGCTCCAGCTTCAGACCTATGATCAGGTCGCCGCGACTGCCTTGCTGCTCGTCAAATTGTTCCGTCTGAAAGGAAAATTAAACAGATATTAGGATATTGATATCGTATCTTTGGTATTCTGGTTGATCAATTACTTTAAAGGACACATGTTTTATTACAG